CCTCCAGCCCCTCCTGGGGCCCCAAGGAGTCCCCAGGCCAGATGAGATACAGCAGTGCCCCCAGTAGGGGTGTAACCAAGAGAGAGAGACCACATCGGTTCCAAACCACCACTTTGAACACAGATATCAAAAACTGATCTTTAGCAAGTTTCTTGTTATTTCTCTCTGTGCGCCGGCCTCCTGTGTGTGTGTGTGTGTGTGTGTGTGTGTGTGTGTGTGTGTGTGTGTGTGTGTTTTGTTAAAGCACAGACAAAATGTTTTGGATCATCCTGCAGAACCACCTGCAGCGTCATCTCACAAATTAGATCAATCACCTAATCAATGCAATTATCTCACACACACACACACACACACACACACACACACACAGTGTGTGTGGGTGTGTGTGTGTGTGTGTGTGTGTGTGTGTGTGTGTGTGTGTGTGTGTGTGTGTGTCTGTTGTTTACCTGTGATTGGGGTGTGTTGTGTTGGGTGTCAGTGTTAGGTGTGTGCGTGTTACCCACACTGCACCACGAGCTGGATCAGGGCCTCTCGCGGTTTCACGTTGAACCCATTGTACTGGCTCGTCTGGCACCGGTACATCCCGCTCATCTCCCTCGTCACGTTGCCGATCCTCAGGACGCCATCGTAGCTCTCCGTCTGAGCCGAGCCGTCGGGCATCGGAGCCGCCGCCCCGCTCTCCTCCACCCGAGACCACAGGATGATGGGTTTTGGTTTCCCTGAGACCAGACACTGCAGGTCCACGGTGTCGCCCTCCTGAACGATGAGGTGAGAGCGCCCCCTGGGGACGGTCAGCTCTGGAGGAACTGCAGCCACAGACATAGAAATGTTGGTTTACTGAAGTGGATTTGTGTCAGAGTGCTTCTAGTTACTGTATATGTTTGTACACGAGGCCATGTTAACTTCCTGAGGGGCCCCGGGCCAAACATGGGCTTTATCTTAATGTACTTTTCATGTTTTTGCTTGTTGCTTTCTTTTCTAATGCATTATGTAGATGAAATGCGCCATACAAAGAAAAGAAACCTGCCTCAGAAGGAGGTCAGAGGTCAAAGTGATGACACCATCAAATAAGAAACAAACAGCTGACATGTGCTGCTGCTACAGAAATAAATGTGGAAGCAGGAAACAAACTCTGATGTTTAGTTCATCCTTCTTTTAAAAACCCTGAGAGGGCGGAGGGAGCTGGTCTGTTCTGTCATTTATTTTCCTAAAGCAGCACCCCGAGCGTGACCCTCTGTTTGACACGAAACATTCGTCAGCAGCGTCACACAGCAGAGACTGCAGCCACGCTGCGTCCTCCTCTGCCAGTGTGCAGCCACGCTGCGTCCTCCTCTGCCAATGTCACACACAGACAAGAAGCCCTCCATTGGCACCGCCAGCAGACGCCGCCCTGCATGTCGTCCATGCGACGCAAACGTTCTGCTGCTTCTCTCTCTGCAGAGACCGAACTGAGAGGTTTGGCACTGTTCAGCAGCTGCAGTGTTTTTATGAAAGCTCAAGAAGAAGAAGACTGTTAGAGAGCTGTGGCCTCTGTGTTCACAACCAAAGACACACTGAGCCTGTTCATGTCCTCTGGCTGGGCTTAGACACCTAAAGCATTCACTATTCAAGATGCATCTTCTGTTTAAATGTATCTCCATTTTTACAAAGTTCCACAAGTTGTTTGGCTGCAACAGACTGTTGGTCTCAGAACTGAACAAGTCAGTCACGTTTTCAGTTCATCAAATCCAGCTGTGTTTGTGTACAGCTGCTCCGACTCCTTCTGTTCTCAGCTGATGATGTTTTATTCTGTCCTGCACAAACAGCAGGTCTAAGACCAGGGGCGATGCTAGACATAAAGCCCTACTTGGGCACAGGCCCCTCATTACTCCAGTCACAGTTTTTTTTTCTTGAATGTCTGATGAATGAAATGTGTTGTATGATCTTCCTGTGCTTAGCCCACTATCCCACTACCATAGTGCTGCTACTGAAACTGACAGCACTACTGGTAAAGGTACAAATGTGCAGATATTCATCTTTATGAACATATTGTTTCCACCAACAAGTCTGGCCCTGTATTGCCCTTTTGTGCATTCTTCTGCATTTCACAAAATTAACTCATTTGACTGTCAAGCAGCCCCAGTCTGTCAAATTATATTCATCTGTCAACAAATCATGAGTTTAGAAAAACACAATCTAATCATCTTTTGTCCCTTGTAAGGCCACACGGTTTATCGATGCTCCAATTACTTTGATAACATATTGTGCAGTGGACGGCTGGTCCCACACCGTCTCCCTGCACAGACAGCTTCCTCCACACTTCCTGCCTCAGGTTCACCTCTTTGTTAACTGCATGTGAAACAACATTCGGCCTGTGTGACAACAGCATCAAATAGTATGTTATATTCATTAACACAGACCGCTATGTGTGATGTAGTATGCAACACACTTGGCTTAGTGCACTGTTTTAACAGTAGTCCAGTTGATCACGTGCACTGATGGACAGAGCTCTAACTTACTTCACATTCACCCTCCGCGCCTGATTGCACACAAGCTCACTAAGATAACGTCGGCTTGTTTACCGACTGCAGCCAGGTCTCACCTCTCTCACCCTCATCAATCTGAATGTCTTCCCTGTGTCGGCCGCCTCCAAAGGATCCTCTTGCGTCCATCAACAGGACTCAGTATGTCTGAGGCAAAATACAGTCGTCCATATTATTCAAAAACCTACTTTAGTCCCTCTCACATAGGTGAAGACAGGCTGGTTTTGCTGCAGGGCTTGTTTTTACTTCAGAAGTGAAATGAATGTGGATTTTACCCAAATCATTCTGTGACACAAGGTGACCAATAGTGACAACTTGAAAGTTGTGTCTTTGTCAGACTAAAAGCTTTTCATATGCATACTACACAACATGCCCACGTGCTGAGAGGCTAAACTCATCCACTGGGTGGATTTACATACTGGAGAGAGAAAAAGAGTCTAATCCCACAATGCAATGCTCCACATTTTACAGGCGAGAAGCTTACTGCTGAATCTGAGTTTACTCCTGAGTGGAGGTTGTACAGAGAGCGGGTGATGAGTGATTCCACCCACAGCCTCATGTTTGTGCACACTGCATGGTGAGCAAGCTGGATGACTGTCAGGTACAAGAAGCAGCTGCTGTCCTGTTTGGTGGGAACTAAAGGGTAGATTTTAAAAATGCAGCAGAGGAGTAAACGCCTGTACAACAGACGCTGAGAGCTGGCAGTCGGCGTTAACCAGCCACGAGAGGCTGCTGTCAGACTCTGCGTCTCTCCTCAGGTTTTGTTCTGATCAGCTGACTGAGACCATGAGGACTGAAGAACAACCGGCGTGCTGGTGCCAACAGGTCCTGTTTATAGTCTGATCACCAACACATGCAGAGGTGTAGAAACGTTTAGGCAAAATATGAAATGAAAGGAGAAACAGATGAGTTCCATCTGATTGACAAGCCAGGAACCAATAAACATCCAGTGGCACCTGTCAGTATCTGAGTTGGAATATTCAGCCCTGTGCGGATGTGAGGGCTTTGCCCTGATGGTGGCGACAGAGGGGCAATTTACAGCAAAGGACACATCACAAAACACTTCCTGTTTCAGACAACAGCCTGGTTCACGCCGGTCAAAGCCGCTCACCTGTAGTGGACGAGATGTTGACATCGATGCTGATCTCAGGGAATCCTTCGTTCCTCAGTGAAGCCACGCAGGTGTAGGTGCCAAAGTCGGTGAACTTGAGGTCAATGATGTCGAGGTTGGTGGTTCCCGGTGAGACGTCAGTGTCAGTGTGCGTGATGACCATCCGCTCGGAGCTCCTCAGCGGCCGGCCGTTCTTCAGCCAGCTGAACTGCAGCTCCTCTGGCGGCGTAGCCTCGACCTGGCAGCTGATCTTCACCTCCCGGCCAATCTGGATGTTGTCATCGTTGTGGTAGGGGTCGGGCGTGATCCAGAACCGGCCTTTGCGAAGACCTGCAGGAGACAGGTGGATAAAAGAGGAGAGACTGGGTCGAAGATGATGTAACATCACAAGACCCAGTGTTCAGGAGTGAAGGTCCAACACTTGTGACTAAAACCTGAGGGTTTATTATTCAGGGACAGTTCATGGGCCCAGTCTGTTCTTAGGAACCAAGACCAGGTCCAAATTCTGCTCGGTCTAACTGGGTCAGGTAGGGAGCACTTTTCTGGGACTATTATACTGCTGTTCTTTTCCGCCATGGTGCTCATTCATTGATCAAATTAACTGATTGATCACCACACTGCTGCTGGTGTCACGTGGCTACAAACACTTAGAAACATTTCCTTAAAACTAAGTCTGACAAATTATGTATTTCTGGGAACTTCAGCTTGAAAACCCAGGCAACTGTGAACCAACATTTTAAAGATGCAAAATGTGGTAGTTTTACCAGAACCTCTCATGTCACCAGTGTGGATCCTGCAGCAGAACCCCATTAGTTTCAGACCGGCGAGGCCAACTGCAGTCTTGTCTGTCCTCATATTCGGCATTATTACAATTACCCTTCCTGCTGCGAAGAAACTAATCCATCCAAATGGGGCTTAATTATTACTGAAGCCATTTGTTCAGTCTAATCCTGACAGACAGCTGCTGCTCTTCGTCCTGCACTTCTCACAGCTCCAGCTCAGACCAGAGGTCGCCTGTGGGCACAGGTCACGCCGCCTGCTCCCGCCACCGGCACTTTATGACTGTTCAAACTGGTAACTGAGTCATTTGTGTGTCTGTCTGTGCTGGTAATCTGCTGCTGATTCTCCTGCTCCTCAGACCATACTGGTGACCTCTGACCTTTCCTCTAGTACCACAGCTGAGGTTTTCACATCTTATAAAACTACTGTAATGCAGATACAAGGCCACCGACTGGCCGACCTTCGACAGTTCAGGGATGCACTCAGCACGTAGAACCTGAGGGGTAATAACTACTCTGAAGAGTGTTGTTGTTGGCGTGGGGAGAAACCGACAGGAAAAGCCCCTGGTGTGATTTAGACGTGCATTATGATTTGTTAGAGTTGGAGCAATGCTGGACAAATTGAGGATTGGAAACACACTGACAACCGACACGGTTGTCCCCACAAAAAGTAAACACGTTGAACCAGTGGGGTAACACACTGTGACGGTTTTTTTTTCATGCCCCACCCACATCCCAAATACATGCGCATGCTCCTGCACACATGCACACACACACACACACACACACACAACCACTTCAGACAGCTGAATGAAGAAATACACCAAATTAAACAGGAGGTGGATAGAAATAATACTTCCTTTTTAGAAATCAGCAGTTTAGGAACATTTAACAAGGACAACACCACCAGGCTACGTTCAACAAAAAACCTGCATAAAAACAGGCTCTGATTCAAAACCACGAGTGTTACACACATGAGCAGAAGGTGGTGTATACGTATACTATCACATTAGCTGTCTATCAATGAAGCATCGGCTTCAAAACGGCATGGTGGAATTTACAGTCACGGAGGCCTCCTGCATTATGCAACGTTACTGCAGCCATCAAAACCCTTCCTGCATGGGCCCCCGAGACCCTCCGGGGCCGGGCTGCACCGTCGATAGCTACGCCACTGTGTTAAACTCAGTGAAGTATCACGTGCTGGCTCTGGTGGTTCCAGCTTGCTCTGACAGCGTCTGTCCCTGCCACAGACTCCACAGTGCAGCGCTCAGTGGCTGTAGCTCAGACCCCACATCTGTGGGGGTGGGGGGGCTATGTGGACATAAATAGCTTCAGACTGTGAGGCTGGCAGCTGATTGTCCTTGTTCATTAAGACTGAAGCCCCAGAACAAAACCCTGTGTGCGTTTCACTGCGTCAGTAAAAGGTCCGTTACATAACTAGAGGTGGACACAGTCGCTCACACAGACCAGTCACTGCACACACACACACTGGCTGCAGTACTGGCACTACACAGTAGCACTGTGAGATAGTGCTGTAGTACTGCAGTAGTGTGGCAGTAGTACATATCCTAACTGCTATTTTACAGTTACTGCAAGTTTTCACAGCGTTTAATCGAAAACCTTTTAGACCATTTCATGATTTAAGACCTGGTTCTACAATAAACCTGGACTGAACTGCAGCTCAGCTGAGCTGACGTTAGTGTGACAGAATAGAAGTAACATTTTAAAGTTAGAATGATCAATCTAAACATGATCAATAACTGTCAAACTCATTAATTTAAGAAGTGAGGACTTTTAAAGGCCTAAATTTCAAATGAAGGTGTATGAAGGCCCTGCGGAGTCCGACACCGCTCAAAGCTCCACTAAAGGAATCACAATGGACAACAAGGATTTCTGGCTGCTGGTCGTGAAACTCACCAGTGTTTATTGAAATCTTCTCTCTTATTTGAAGTTCAGTGATATTTACTTCACATGATAAGATCAGGTGCAGCCGGACACTGCAACATGATGCTGAGTACAAACGAGAGTTAACAAGGAAACGCTTCCAGCCCTGTTGAACTTCTGCATCTAAAACATGAGGAAATCAAACACGTGACAGTGGGCAGGAGTTCACTTCAGGTTTCTCATTATTCCTATGTGGTACCGTCGATCAGATGTTTGATTTGTGTTCATTCTGAAAGTCTGTCACATAAGCACCATGTTTTTTCTGCAACCAAAACTTTATAAAATAATTTGTTATCCAGTGTTATTTTGTTAGCATTCAACAACTACACAAGCCACACAAAGTCCCAGGACGACCGGGAGGTCTCCTCCCAGAGGGACGAGGAAGGTCACATGTTGAGTTTGTATAACATCTGCTGTGGAGAACCACAGGAGCCAGGTCAGACGGCACAACAAAAGAAGGCCCTGTTGTAACATTCACCACGCTCTTTAGACTTGAACCAGGATTTCATGTGTTTGTTGTCACTGTTCAGCCAAGTGCATGCTTCTCCTCTGCAGCCCCTTCTCTGTCCTCTGCTGCAGCAGAGGATGGCGAGCAGCAAAAACAGGACAGTGAACATTTCATTTGATGGTGCAGGAAAGTCTCCACGTTAGAATAACTGATGTCTGTTCTCTAAATAAACCACAGACTGGGTCCATTTGCAGCAGCTGCCTGGTAGAGAGACTAACTACAATGACAGAAAGGGAGAAAGTGTGAGACGTGCACGATGGGATTTGAGCTGACAGGCTGCAGGGGCAGCAGATAACACACGCTTTCCTCACTTTGTTCAAGCACCCCAAGGTCTAAACCTGGCAGGGGTCCTCACAAACACACACACAGAGCTGAGTCATGCCGCGGAGGGAAACCCTACAAACACATGACGTACTACAGTTAAAGGAACAGTTCAACACTGTAGGGAATCCTCTCATTGGCTTCCACTCTTGATCTCTGGAGTGAGATGGTCACATGGCTCAGACTGGTCTCGGCCCGGTTTTGAAGGAGCGCGTCGGGGTCGGTGGGACCTGTGCTTTAGAGTTTCCTAGCAGAACCAGAGCTGTACAGAAACATCTGACCCACAGTGCGGGTGTCTAGAGAAAGGCGCTGCCAGTCGCTGTTGGGTGACAGCAGAATCAGAGATCTCTGTTCGGGCCTGGGACGGTTCGTCAGGAAGCTCACAACACAAACAAACAGACCAGAAAACTTGTAAATAACATCCTGACTTCTGAAAGACATGTTGGCGTGTCCAGTCCAACTGACTGCTGTAGCCTTTCCTCCCATAAAAGGAGCAAATGTCTGGTGTCTGTCCCTCTGTTTATACAAACAGTTGACAATAAAACAACTGTTATCATGAAATGCTCTGCTGATTTTATTCTAATCTGTCAGTCTGAGCAGATTGTGTCTTCAAAACCTGATTATGTGCTGCTGGAGTTCAGGAGGAGGCTGCAGGAAAGAGGAGGAGGAGGATTCACTGAGACCAAAACCATCTGAGAGCTCAACATCTTTACTCAGGTGCTGATAAACGCTCTGTTTGTTGTGGATGTGTCTGATCTATTCTGGCCTAATGTGCAGCAGCTTCTACACAACAAGTCAAGACACCGGTGTGTCTTTGTACCTGCAGAGATTAAAGCTAAGGCCTCACCTGAACGCGGCGTAAGCGGTGAAGCAGGAGGAAAGAACACCTCTCAACAGGTAGATGCCATCAGAGCTCAGACTAAGTCCCAGAGGAACTAAACTCACATCTGACAAAAACGGAAACCACTCGTGCTGCAGTGTCACATCACTAAGCAAGGCAGCTAAAGAAGCAGGCGAGCTGGAGATTTAACAACAAACCAGGTGAGGACGTGATCCAACACACTGTTCCTCTGGACACCCAGTCTCCAAGAGACAACAGCTGCCTGGAGCAAAAGTCAGAGGATCAGCACAGCTCTCATAGTTCATCCTGAGGGGACCATGAACGCCTGAACCATGTTCCATCACACCTATCCAACGGGTTCAGTCTGGACCACATGGTCCACACACGTGGCTTTCATTAGGCACAGACCAATAAGTTAAACCAGGATCTGGATTCACACACATCACGGGGAGAACAACACAATCACTGCTGCTCTGTATGAGACTCGTGCACAACAACGACAGAGGAAATCACCATTAAGTCTAAGTGTCATACCTCTGACCAGTACGGTGGTGGATTTCTTGGCAGGGTTTCCCACGTTGTTGGACGCCACGCAGCTGTAGGCGCCGCCATCCTCTGTGGTGACAGCGGGGACAGTCAGTGTGCCGCCCTTCATGATGCTCCTCTTTGGGAGCTCCTCCCCTCCCAGCCTCACCCACCTAAGGGTGGGGGGAGGGTCTCCGCCCGACACCACACATACCAAAGTGATCATGTCCCCCGGGTTCACCACCAAGGGGTCGTCCACGAGCAGCTTAATGGAGGGAGGAGCTGGAGGGACAGAAGAGGAGACCACAGAGGAGAAAAGATTTTATCATTAATTAATATTCAGTGGCGGGGCAGTGGTTAGCGCTGTCGCCTCATGGCAAGAAGGTTCTGGGTTCGAGCCCCGGGCAACCTGGGGCCTTTCTGTGTTCATGCATGTTCTCCCTGTGTGGGTTCTCTCCTGGTACTCCGGCTTCCTCCCACAGTCCAAAGACATGCAGCTTAGGCTGACTGGTAGGAGTGAGTGTGAGTGTGGTTGTTTGTCAGCCCTGTATAGACTGGCTACCTGTCCAGGGTGGCCCCCGCCTCTCACCCAGTGTCAGCTGGGTCTGGCTCCAGCCCTCCTGTGACCCTGTTCCTGATAAGCAATATAGACAATGGATGGATATTGTTCAGCTTCACACTGCCATTGGTCCGTTGTTCTTCAACTCCACAATTGGTTCCCACTTTCTGATTTAGTAGGAGGAAATGTCAACTCTACCATCGTCTGGTGCCACTCCATAAACTTAGAAAGCCACTGAAGACACAGGTTGAGGACAGAAAGAGACTCATGTATTATGAAAAACGATGCTGTTAACAGGACTGTGAAAACTGTCCAGCTTCACAGAGTCTAGACTGACGTCTTTAGATGTCCACCCACTGTCCAAAACACAGAGAATGTGTAGTGCAGACATGTTGAATAAATGACTTATTTTAAATAAAGGTTTTAAAATATTGTACTAGCATAGAACAGTTTAAATATAACTACAACAGGGTTTGTAATGCAAGATATATGAATGAGGAGGCGTGATGGCGGATTAGACTGGAGTATTGTTGGTGTGGTGTATGAAGATAATATTTTATGTATAGACACTGAATATAAACCTGTGATTTGAACGGTGGTGTTAAAGTGAATTTAGTTTTGTATTGAGAAACTTAGCAATGTGCTTTTGGAACAGTCAGTATAGTAACAGTACAGTAATTTAAGGGGCTGGTCGATGAGGAAATTGGTTTGTTTGGTATGTACAATGGATAGGGCGGTGATAGGATGGATATATGGGGGTTGTTGGGGACTGGCACTGCTGTGGGTCTGACTGTCCGGTGTTGGGCTAATGGTACCACGGTCTAAGAAAGGGGGTAGGACTAGATAAGTGTATACTTCTTCCTACTCCCTTTCAAGCATGTACTATTGGAATGTTGTGATGTCTTATGCGTATTGGTTGAAATGTCGAATCAATTTTGTTTTTCGCAATATCAATTTTCTTAGTTTTACATGCTTGGAAGAAACTTAAATTAAAAAATTTTAAAAAATGTTCTGGGACACCTTGATCGCAACATGTTCATGTTGTTCTGTTAAAAAACTAGATTTTAAGTTTTCTGTGGGAAATAAAACAGTTTCTCAGTCTGAGGTCAGCTGACATTGTACACAGGCCATGGGAGTTTTCTGAGACTGCACATTAGTTGCATGTTAAAATGCTGTAACTGCCTGTGATCTGTACGCGGTCATGACCCTTCCTGCTGCACAACAGAGTATAAAAGCTCCACCAGCTGCACAAAGGCAGCCAAATGCAAAAATAATACTGAGGGGGATAAAAATAGCTGAGGCGACCTTTGTTAAGCTGACATCTTGTAAATCCCATCATCCCCCAGGGCGGCGAGGAGCACTCGGCGGTACAGGCCAGGGGCTGCTGTCTGAGCAACATAAAGAAGTCACATCCTGTTGTGCATGTGTGTGTGTCTGTGTTCTTGTACTTGCTATATAGTGAGGACAAAAAGGTATTTTCTTTGCTACTGAGTGATGACATCAGTGGAAAGTGAGGACATTTTGGCTGAAACACCTTCCAGAGGGTTAGGATGTGGTTTTAGGGTTTGGGTTAGAATTAGGGAAGGCATTATGTCAGCGGGCGTCCTCATAGAGATAGAAGTACAAGTGTGTGTGTGCTACTGTCCTGTTGTGTGTGTGTTACCTGTCCTGTTGCTCAGGCTGAAGTGCACGCTCTTGTCTTTGATGCCGCAGACGTTCCTGACGGAGGAGATGCAGGTATAGTCGGCATAATCCTGAGGACGAAGATTTTTCAGCTTTAAGATCTTTGTCTCATCCTGAAACACAAACACAGGCAGACATTTGCCTCATTACACCTGTGAGGACCTTCACTGACAAAGCATTTGGCAGCTTCCTGGTTCTAACGTGAACCCTAAACCAAACAGTCCACTGAAGTTGTGATGAAACTGGAGAAACATCCTTGACACCCTGGACCTCCTGCAGTATGCCTACCGGCCCAACAGGGCCACCTCAGACACCAGCGTGGCTGCACTCCACTATTCCCTTTCTCACCTGGAAAACGGAGACTCCTACATCAGGCTACTCTTCATTGACTACAGCTCCACCTTCAACACAGTTGTCCCCCACAAACTCACCCACAAACTGTCCACACTGGGTCTGCACCCCACCCTCTGTGATTGGCTCCTGGACTTTCTGACTGGCGGGCCCCAGACTGTCAGGATTGGTAATAGGACTTCAGCCAGCATTGTTACAAACACTGGCACCCCACAGGGATGTGTCCTCAGTCCCATCCTCTAC